AAAAATCTTGTTGATTGATATCACTTTCGAGTCCATGAGTATGAGAGGAGCACAGCTTTCACTCTCAACCAAACTAACATTACTAGCCAATCAGAATGTTTTGCTCTTATAAACACGAGACGCGCATAATAGTATCCAATTGCGGAGTCGCAGCCCTGATGAATGGAGAAGCGCAACAAAAAGCTGCAAGGCGCAATGGTCAAAGATATCCATCTAGCGCATATTTACATAGAATAACTAATTAAAAAGCAGCGAAGCTTTGTAAACAGCTCAGAGTAATCATGTCATCTCCATAAAACGATATGATTGTCAGAACAAATTTACTGGGATTTAAAAAAAAAAAAGGTCCTGTTCACACATGATCTATTAATGGTAACTTACTGGTAATTTACCAGTACTGTATGTGTGAAAGGGGCTAAACTCTTCCTCTGCATATGCTGTGAATTTGAATTGCTTAACGTTCATCTGGAAAAACAGTGTGCATTATCTCACTAGATTTGTAACGTAAATCATTTATAAAACTTTGCTAACACAGGAGAATACATCAACCTATGTCTAGATATGCCATGTATTGTACATCGGGATTTCAAAATAAATGTTTCTGCATGTGGCCAAATATTAAAATGAAATGGATTTAAACATTGTTTAATCACGCTGTAAAGTGAAACTTCACCAGGCCGTTGGCGCCCTCTGCAGGTATTTGTTTTAATACATAATGTACTTAAGTTGGTTATGCTCATATTATGTATAGGCATATTACATTATGTATTTTAACAGTGTTGTTCAATACAATCATGTAATTTCTTAGTTTTGATATTTTATTTGAGCCAATTATTATTGCCTCATCGTTAGTTTATATATAAATAGTCATACTAAAGCCTGGTTTTCACTTAGGTCTGTTTGTTGAAAAAAAAAAATCAGATTACTCAGTTGTCAAAATAATCAGTAGTTACAGCCCTAGATTAGTTAAAATATTTCTAAATACAACTGCATTGTTTCCGCCCCCCTAAAATAATGGCAGGGGAAACACTGGGGGAGGGCTTTTTCCTATAACGTGCCTAAGTTGTGGAATGCATTACCTGTTTATTAGGAATGCTGCTTCCTTGGATTGTTTTAAGAAACTTCTTAAGATGTATCTTTTTACTGAAGCTTTTAATTTATGACTATTACTATGATTTTATTTTTGATATTTGTAGTTTTGGTTGACTTGTTATTTTGTTTGTATATGTTGTAGCGCTTTGTCCAATCAAAGAACGAACCCGAGGCAAGTCTTTATCACCGCGCCGCCGAGCAGGCAGCAGCCCTCAAAGACGCCAACATGTCCACAGAAGAGACAAATCGTAAGTAATGGACACTTTGATGTTGAGGAAACTCAGTTCTGAGAAATAAGCTGTGAAAAATATCCACTTGTGTGTAAGTCACTTGGTAGAAAAGTTTCTGTCAAGAAAATAAGTATAAATGCAGTCTTAAGCTGTCAGTGGTTTATTGGCAGCTGTGACTCATCATGACTTGCAGCAGGCCATGGAAGCTTAAAAAAGTAATTACTTGGGTTGCATTTATTTAATGTTGACATATTTTTAGTGATCTTCATATTTCGGGTGATTATGCTCTTGGAGTGTAATTAGACAGCTTTTATTAATAATCCTCTGAAAATGAGCCATTCAAGGAGCGTTTACAATGACAGGGATTAAATCTGATGTCACCAAGATGCTGTACTGCTAAAAAAAAATTTTTTTTAATTATATATATGTAGGTTATAATATGTATGTTGTTGTGCAGCTTAGTATTTTGTGAATTTTTTGGTAATATTATAAATGAATGTCTTTACCATCACTTTTGATTCAATGCATCCTTCCTGAATAAAATAAAACTTTTGAATGGTAGTGTATAGATGTATTTATTTATATATTAAGTTCTCTTTTACTATACAGTACACTACTGTTCAAAAGTTTCTTATGCTCATCAAGACTGCATTTATTTGGTCAAAAATAAATTAAAACTGTAAGAAGAAATTAATACTTTTATTCAGCAAGGATATGTTAAATTGATTTTTAATATTTGTTTGTACATGTAGCGCTCTGAGTGTTAAGAAAGGCGCATTACAAATAAAATGTAGTATTATTATTATTAATATTAATGTCATCAAGTTAATGAACGTAAGGTGGAGCTTTTCATAACACTAGCTTTATTTGTGCTGCGCTCGCTATCGCTAATGAGAAAACACAGTTAGAGTGATTCAGCGTTTGCTCCCTGGGGTGTGAAAAAGTTCAGGCCCTTTTTTAATAAACTGATTGTAGATCTGTCGTTCTTTAGCACCGGATCCCTGTCGGGTTGATGATTATTCCTCATCTGTGACTTTCTCTGCTTGCCTTTTTCCACCTGGAAGATTTCAAGCCCTTTTTCATTGTAATTGCCTTGAAATCTTAATTTCATCTCCAAACTGAAGATAAAAATGATCTTTAGTACCTCATAGCTATATATAAATTTACATATTGTTGCACACGTGTGTGTGTGTGTGTGTGTGAAGTGTATTTTTATATATATATATATATATATATATATATATATATAT